CTTGACTCAACAGACCCAGCAATGTGTACTGCCAGAGACAAAAGTGCTCTGTGGATGAGAAATATTTTTAAATGCTCAAAACTACTTTAAATATGGAGCTATGCTGCTGTGTGACCTGTGCTATGTGAAAATATGTACGCTTAGTTTCTTTTTCCATCCTCTTCTCGTGAAATCTGCCTTACAAACTGACTTGAGCTGCAGATCTCACAGGCTCTCTAAAGGGACTGCTCCTTTATCCCCATTTGTAGAGATGTAATGAAAATGTGACTTGACTAACTTGGTAGTCTTTCTGCTAGGAAAAATGGACAGAGGATACTGGTGCCCAATGCATGAGATTGCTCTGTCCCTGGAAGGCAGAAGTCTCCCTATGAGTGCTTAAAACCATTTCATTCATCTACGTTTAAGAAGAGAAAAATGCATTCCCTTACCTGGGCAGGATTTTGTCTCAAAGATACTGCTGAAAGGGTGCCAGACTGTGCCAAACCAGTGGCATGGGGACCTTCGTAAAGAATGGTCAATAGCCCATAGAAATTCTTGTCACATGTACAGCACTTGTTTACCAACGATTCACACGATGAATCCTCACTGATTTATGCTTCCCATGTAGTGCACCACAGAATCCAATTCCTAGATGCTCACTAGAGTAATTTGTATAGACGAGGGGACAAACAATATATGGATTTAGCCCCATAAGTACCAGAGGTGTTAGTTAGGTATGGCAGTAAGCAAAGCCTACTGTAACCCCATCTCTAGACTTTCTGGCTTTGATTTCTACAGCATCACTGGAAATGGAGCTCTCAAATAGAATAAGAAAGCAAGGGAATCTTGAATTAAAGTGTTTATCAGATAGCTACGACTGAATACATCTTTTCTGCAGGTCGTCTTTAGTTTAACAGTGTGACAAATAATCCTCACCAAAGCCTTTCAAAGCTATTCTGAGCAGTTATACCAAAAGTTAACCAGATCTGTGTTAATCTGAAGCTCTAGTCCAGTCTTTAAGAAGGACAAGGCAGATGGGAAGACGCTGTGTAAGTCTATTTAGCAGCATGCTTCTCTGAATTTTCTTTAGATTTTTTTTTAATGCTTTATTCTTTTCAAAGCAGCCTCAAACACTAATCTAAAGAGAGACACTTTACTGCCCCCAGTCTTTTTTTTTTTTTTGTAGAGAAAATTTTGTATCCAAACAGGTAGAAGCAAATGTTTTGGGGCTACCTTTTGGCCAACATGGAAAATGCAGAATGAAAATTTTTAAGTCCATCAGGAAAGACAGAAAAGCATCCCTGAATGGTTTAAATAATTGCATAAGGGTAAGATCAAAACTTGTGAATCTAGATTCCAACAGTACTGGTACTAATGAACTTTGATTACCGACATTTGCTCTCAACCTTGAACCAGCTTCATAGTAATGTCGCAGATGGGCTGGCTGAGTTACATCACAGTACTTGTGGTGAGTTGTAAGGAAATAAAAGGACTGAAACAGAACTGAGTCCAAAGTCATAAACCACTTAAATACAAGAGGCAACTTTAAGGACACATTATATATGTTATATATGTTGATTGTTGTTTTATCTGGACAGTTATTCTGCATAGTTTGCTGCATGCACAGGTTTGATATCAGCTTCAGTCAAGAAATGCTGCTGCGACAGAAAGTGAAGTTTTTGCAGTAGGATTCAGTATAATTTATGATGCTGAAATCAGTGATTAGCTGACTCCTCTACATGACCTTTGCAACATGCTGCGTTACTGCCTGATACCAAAATCAAATCAGGGTTGGAAAGGTTATATGGGAATACACAGCTATGGGAAATATAGCAGAACTGCACATTTTTGGAAGTGAATGAATCACTTCTAAATGAATTACCAAGTAGTTGAAATGCACAGGGAAGCACTAGCCCAGTGCTAGAGCATACTGACTGGATATGTCTTAAAGTAAGTAAAATGTGCTTTCTGCCTCGGACATATCCAGCACTGCTGGAAAGAGCCATGACCTCTGCATGGCACAGGGCAGGCTGGCCAAGCTCTCACCCCAACTGCTGAGCTGTACTGGAGGGACATCTTTTAGGAAGCTGCTGCCTGGAATAAAGCAAATTTAATGGCTTTCCCCAAAGTCCTTCAGGTCTTTGGTGTATGCCAAAATAACCCCCCTTTCTGATTCTTTATTTTTCTTTCTTTATCTATCTAATTTGATAGAATTAGATCAGATAAAAATGCAATGAACAAACAACTTGGAACAAAGGACCTGCAAACAGAGTGGTCTCATAACAGCTGTCCTCTGCACTGAGGTTTGGTGGTGATTCTTTTGTGATTCATCTTGCGGTCAAATTTATCTGTGACAGGAACTAACCACATTGCTTCAGTTTAGGTTAGTTATGGATTTTACCCAATATTCCTAATTTACAGAAACAAGCTTCACAAAAGCCCATCTTACAAAGGTTCTCAGAGCAATTTACTGTGTGAAATGCAAACAAGGCTGTCACTGGAAGTGGAGATGCTTTGGGCTCTGTGTGAGAGGAGAAACACAAGTGCAAAGGTCCCATCTCACCCACCTGCTGGACTGTGGGCTATTACAGATTGGGATGCTGTCTTTACATGTGACATGCTCGACATCAGCCTCATCTTTTTAGTGCAAGTGTACCAGTTTTCTCACTTTAGTCTCCAAGCGGCATGACTCTCCTTCCTGACGTACAGTTGTGTGGGTGTTTGTATCTTTCATCCTTTGGTTTCTTCCAGATAGTTCTTGAAATAGCTTTCATAAGTCATCTTACTTTTATGTTGGGTTGAAAAGTAATCTCACTTAGGACTTTGATAAGCACAATTAGCTGATCTCTCTTAATTATACTGTCCATAATTAATTCTTTACTTTTGCATTTTTTTAAAAACTATCTAAATTCTATAGCAACACAAGGCTGTGAGTAATGTTAATTTTGCTCTTCATTCAGCAGTGGAAAAACGTGATTGTTATTACTGCCGTTGTTACTGTCTAATATTTCCTAATATAGTGATATTCTCTTTTCCATGACTGGTGATGGCTTCCTTGCAGAGAACAACTAAGTAGATGTTAACCTGCCATCTTGAATTACCAAAAGTGGTAAATCAAGGTAGAAGTGATCACAGTCTACAAAAACATGAGTGGCAAAGGGAAGGCCAACTCACTGTTCGTTTCATCCTCTGAAACAAGAGCTAAGGTACAGCAAAGGAAGTGAGCAGTATCTAGGTCCAAAACAGAGAGACAGAGATGGATGCTTCACGCTAGGGTACATGTATTGACACTGGTGAGTGAAAGGCTGGACAAATACATGGGAGAGCCAACAGTGTGCCCTAGAGGCCAAGAAGGCTAATGGTATCCCAGGCTTGGATATCCAGGCTTTTTCATGTGCCAGGTGTTCAAGTCCCTCTTTGCACCTCTCATCAGCAGTTTTAGATAGGGCTGACGTGACTGTGGTGCCCCGGTGAATGGACCTGGGGAGATAGAATGCGTGGGCTCCCAAGAGGCATTACGACAGCCACAGGGCAAATGGAGAGGCCTGCCCAAATAACTGGTCAGAAGTCAGGAAAGAGGAGAATGTGATCAGGTCCAAAGGAACACTGGCTAAGTGCTCAGAGGACAGAAAGTAGAACTGGGTGGGAGTAAAGGAGGAGGAAGGTTCAGCGCAAAGCCAAGGCTCTCAGCATGTGCTGCTCCTATCTTGTTCAGTGAGTCATCCTTAATTGTGCTCCATCCAACAGCACTTAGTCACAGCCTTATTTGGTGAAAATAACATTTTAGTGCTATTTCTTCAAAGCAAGTACGATATTTTCATGTTTTTGAAGTGAGTTCCGGGCTCTGACACATTATAGTTTTCAAAGAGAATTAATGTCTGTTTTGCAGAGGAGGATTAATGATGTCCCAGCTAGCTTTACACACAGTTCATTCCAGTTCTATGCAGCTTCAGTGAATTGGGATTCAGTGATTTTTCTCATTGTAAAGTGCCAGAGGCAGCATTTGCTATCAAAGAAGATATAGTTGTCATATTTTTCTTCCTATCACTTGTATATGCTTTCATTCAGTCTCTTTTTTTTTTTTTTCTTTTTTTCCCCCCTTCTTTCTAGCTCAGTTATGCTGCTTTTTTATTTGGCACTACTCTTTAAAATCTCTCATTGCATGTTGGTAGATTTAATGTTACAGCTGCAATGTGTGTTGATGTAATTACACTACCTGCTCCACTACTGCATTTCTCTTTACAATAAGCTTTTTCTTTCTGATACATTTCTTTTCTGATGTCAAACAGAAAAAACACTAGGGGATCCCAAGTCCTGAATAGGACCCCTGTAAATCTGATGGCATTAGTGGCATTAGCTGTTGTTTTTGAGGGTGGAGTAGCTGAGTATGGCCTAATCTTCTGGAGCCTTCTTTACTCAATCACCTGATTGCTCCCATCACTTTCCAATGCTGTGTGGTCACCAGCTTTCTTCTGACATTCGTGTGCCCAAGGACCACGGCAATTAAAAAGTCTAGAAAGAGAAGTTCATAGAATGGCTTAGGTTGGAGGGGCCTACAAGGATCATCTCCTCCCCCAGCTGCAGGCAGGGCTGCCCAGGGCCCCATCCAACCTGGCCTCGAGCACCACAGCTCTATGGGTGCACCGCCTTCTGAGTAAAGAATGTCTTCCTAACACCTATCCTAAATCTCTCCTCTTTTAGTTTAAATCCATTCCCCCTTGTCCTGTCACTATCAGGCTACACAAAAACTCGGTCCCCCTCCTGTCTGTAAGCTCCCTACAAGCACAAGAAGGCTGCAATGAGGTCTCCCTGTTGCCTTCTCTTCTCCAGGCTGACCAACCTCAGGCACAGGGCGCCGTGACGCCTTCCCCACAGCGGAACAGCTCGGGGCCCCACGGCTACCGCCTCCCCCGGCCCAGCCCCATCGCCGCGCTCCCCCGGCCCGGCGGGGCGGAGCGGGGCGGCGGGCGGGCGGGGTTGGGCGCGGGGCGGCGCCTGGCGGCGTTAAGGGCCGGCGGAGGCCGCGGCGGCGCTCCTAGCGCGGAGAGGGGCGCCGGTGTCCGCCGCCATGGGGCGGTACTCGGGGAAGACGTGCCGCCTCATCTTCATGCTGGTGCTGACCACCGGCTTCTTCGCAGCCGAGCTGGTGTCGGGCTACATGGGCAACTCCATCGCGCTGGTATCCGACTCGTTCAACATGCTGTCGGACCTCATCTCGCTCTGCGTGGGGCTGTCCACCGGGCGCATCGCCCGCCGCTCCCGCCGAGGCCCCCGCGCCACCTACGGCTACAGCCGAGCCGAGGCGGTGGGCGCCCTCAGCAACGCCGTCTTCCTCACCGCCCTCTGCTTCACCATCTTCGTGGAAGCCGTGCTGCGCCTCGCCCGGCCCGAGCGCATCGACGACGCCCAGCTGGTGCTCATCGTCGGTGCCCTGGGGCTGGCCGTCAACCTAGTGGGGCTGCTCGTCTTCCAGAACTGGGCCGCCTGCTGCCGCTGCTGCCACCGCTCCGAGACCCCTGCAGGGCGGGCGGTCGGGCCGTCGGATGGCACCGCCGAAGCAGGTGCCTCTCGGCTGCACCCCGCTTTCCCCGTCCCGCTGTCCCCTTCTCCCCCGTCTTCGTGCCGTCTCACCTTGTACTTTGTGCTGGGGGAGGGAGCGCTGGGGCTGTGCTCGTCGTTCCCTTCTGAAAAGAACTTGGTTGTGAGGTTGATGTTTTTTCTGTTTGTAGAACTTATACACAACACAGCGTTTCTTCTTTGAATGCAGGTGAATCACCTAATGACCAAAAAAGCCCTGAGGAGGGGCCTGCGAGAAAAGTAGAGAAAAAGTCCGAAGCTTTGAACATCAGAGGTATGGTAACTAATGCTGTCTTAACGTTCAGCACTTGCAGGCTGTGAGAGATAACGGAGTAACAGCGGTTGCTGTGATGCTGCCTTAGCTCTGAGTGATTGCGCTGTGATTCTTTTGATGGCTGCAGCTGGGCTGTAATTCTGTCAGATGCGGGGTTTCATTCTGGGTGGTGCTGTGTGGAGCCAGGAGTTGAACTTTATAACCCTGGTGGTTCCCTTCTAGCTCAAGATAAATTCAATGGTTCTGTGATCCTGACTTTTTGGAAAGGAGGCAAAGCTCCTTGCACTGAGCACAGGCTGCTAGAGAACATATAGGAAGGTTAAGCAGGCATCTGTGAGGCTTTTCTTTGATGTCACTTCATGACTAGTTGAGCAGTTTTCCACTTCTAAATGCTTTTAGGCAGAAAAAAGAATTTATTTAAATTTAAATATATTTAAATTTATTTAAATAAATTGTTAGTAATCCCAAAGTTTGCAGTCAATATGAGCAGAAAGTTGCTGAAACTGGTAGCTCTGCATGTGTTTTTCCAGGTCCTTGAACTATGAACCTCTCCCTGAGAGAAGCTGGGGCAGTCATCTCCCTCTGTGTCTTGCTTTGGCAGCTGTCTTGTTATCTGCAGAGAGAAACGTTATGGTTATTTCTTGGGATAAATTAACCAAGTCCCTTTGTGTTTATATGTATATTGCCTGTTTCTCACAGGACCCAAAGTAGTGTATTTCGTAATGACTTGTCCTTTGAGGAGAGAATTGCTACAAAGATGAGGACAAATTTCCTATGGCTGCATATCAGCATCTGAGGAGATGTGATGTTCCTCTAGAGCTGTGTGGATTGGCGTCACATGATTTCAGCCTAAGAGGCTGTCATCGCAGTGAGGCAGCCAGCTTTTAGATGTGCGTGTCTGCCCTTCAGATGTGTTTTCAGAGTTATGCAAACGTGTGTAAGGGAGGACACCTTGCAAACTACACCGCATGCTAGAGGAATGTTTGTCTGAATAGCTAGGCATAAGCACTGCTGGATTTTATGGTGTTAGAGTGCTAAGTACTGGAGCAAACTGTCATCTTCAGGGGTGGAGAAAAGGAGAATAAGAAACCAACAAATATATTTTAGGGAAGTCTTTGCTTGTCTGAACGATGGTGTTTCAGTATTCTGATACTGAAAAGTGTCAAAAATGTCTGTAGGATGAGGAGGGTTTATATCAATTATTTTAAGATACCAGTGTTTGATTTGTAGAAAGAGAATTATTCAAAATCTGCTTTTGTTTTGCTACTGTAAGTTACTTATATAGCTATAATCACTTGGTAAAAAGTTTGTATGTTGCAGAGTCAGGGCCACCCTGAAAAGCATGGCTGGGCAGAAAGGTTGGTAGAACAGTAGCTTCCATGGCTGTAAGAATGTTAGGAACAGGAATCCAGATATTCTGCATATCTAGATTAATTACTGTAGTCTAAGATTATTCCTTTTTGCATCTTGAGCACATGCAGAATAGCTCAGACTTTGCCACACAAGCTGCTGGGAGCTATATTATCTATAATTTCATTGTATCAGCTTTATTTAATAAAAAAAACCCTTTTCTTTTATAGCCATAGCTTTGGTGACCTATGGAAATAGGTTCATTATATGATACATAACCAAGCCATTTGTATTAATCATGTTAACTCTGCCTGTCAGTTCAATAAGGATTTTCCAAACTCAGTACGCTCAATTCTAATATATCAGAATTGACGTGCTTACTTTATTTCTTAATTCAAAAAATGTCTTCCTAAAACATTTCTTTAGAAATCAGCTGTCTTGTTAGTTACTGTAGAAATTGCATCCTGCCTATCCCTCTTGTTAGTGCAGCAACCGAGGGCACACGCTGAATCCAGATTATTTTATAAATGAAAGAGGAAACACTGCATCACTGTTACGGCCAATAAAACCCTGTGGGAGTTTGCCAAATGGGACAGAGCTCTCCTGACTACAGCAAAAAGAGCTGGGTGCAGTGTGTAGTGTATCCCAGTGATTCCAAGGAACTCCAGTAAGTTTTGCCTGCGTTCCCCATGCAGAGGGTCCATGTTCCTGCCCAGAGCCAGCATGAAGCAGCAGTGTGGATGTGGTTCTAGCTCTAAAAAAATCCCAGTGCCCAGCATTTTAAGAGCTTGAACTCTAAGGTGTATTTTAGAGGAGTTTCATAGAGAAACTTTTAGCAGTTTCTCTAGCCTGGAGGGAGGGAGTACATTGGATAGTACATTGGAAGTAGCTTTGGAAAGTGCTTGTATAAGGGATATTAAAAGGAATTTAACTGTATTGTTCTGTCGCTTGCTCTGAAAAATAAGTATAGTCAAATAAATCAACATCATATTTAGAGATGCTACAGATTAGGCATGGGTTGGAATTAAGTCATGAGTCTGAATAGTAACGACTGAGGAAAAATTGGGTATTTTGTGGTAATGACAAGAAGAGGCAAGATTATGTGGAGAAAGAAATTAAGAACAAAAGTTGTACTTACAATACTGTAAATTTATAGCAAGAACACTACTTCATTACTCTTGAATCACAGCTGAAAGTGTGCTATTACAAGAGCTTGTTTGTCTTCACCTTGAGTACAGCCAACTGTTGAACCAGATTCTGATCTTTTTTGAGTCTGAGGACTAGTAGTTTTGGTAGGAAAAGTTTTTAAACTAGTAATTGAATTTGATCCAAAAAACTGGAGTGTGGGAGTCACTTGAAACCATAAGAATGGGTACTGTTTAGTTTTCACTTTTGTAGTTTATGGGGGGGTTTCAACAGAGCGGTAGAAACTGATGGAGGAGAATAATTATAAGTTCCTGGATATGGTCTCTCTGACTAACTTAGCTTCTGGGGTAGAATTGGTAGGGTTTAGTCATCAACTTTTAATTGAGAATTGAGATTGAATGTGCCAGGATCTCTACATAATCTGGGCATTTAGGCAAAGACACGTTTTGTTGCCATGGCACTGCAGTTGAATTACAGTTGCTAGCATGCCCTAGTAATGCATCCTATTTACAGAGCTGTGTTTCAGAGTCAGTACTTTCTTTGCTATGTTGTTCTCAAAGCTGTAACTGAAAACTCCAGTTATGATGTGAATGTTTGGAATATTGCACCTTTTTTTTTTTATGGGGGTGGGCGGAGAAAAAGACTAACGGAAGCTGTCATTTATTTCAGGTGTTCTTTTGCATGTTATGGGAGATGCACTTGGATCTGTTGTTGTGGTAATTGCTGCTACAATCTTCCAAGTGCTTCCTCTGGATGCTAGTGCTCCCTGTAACTGGCAGTGCTACATTGATCCAAGTCTGACAATAATTATGGTGTTCATAATCTTGTCTTCGGCGTTCCCACTCATCAAAGAGACCTCAATTATTTTGTTGCAGATGGTTCCCAAAGGTGTTAATATGCAACAACTGAGTAAGTCACATTTGTTGTTGAAATGCTATTAATTTTAATGATATATTTCAATGCGTGTGTTATTTCTGAATGACATGTTTGGATTATTTACTCATAATAGTTCTAAATTCTCCAGAACCGTGAAATAGTTGCATGCCTGTATCCTAGCAACATGACTCAAATCTCTCTGGATTACTGAAAGCATGTATTTTGAGAATGTGGTACTCCAACAATACATCAAAAATACCCAGTCTTGAGCTGTTAATGCTTTGTGTGGAGTGATTGTGAAAGAAACTGCACTGAATTATAGTATTTCTCAACAGTACAGCAGGGTCTTCTTGAAAGGCTTCCAAAACAACTTAGAATTAAGACTGCTTACATTTGTAGTTCTCTGGCACTGTTTGCACTGGTTAGTTGTAGTGTAGTGGGTCTTTCTGGAATTCCACATGCTCAGGATTAAACAAATCGGAAAATATGGGCCTTAGCCAAGAAAGTGCTGTTCCAGCATTGTTGCTACAAACTGAAGATAAATGGTCCTTGGGCAGAGATGCGTCCAAAAAGAAGGCAAGGGCCTGCTTATGTGTTCATAACACTAGGTGAATAGTGTTTGTGAACCAAAAGCAGTGGGTAAGAGCTGTACTTAAGAAAATACTGCTTGGAGACTGCTGCTTTTGGAGTAGTTCTCAACGAGAACTAACCAGCACACCACCACACATTCTAACACCTTTCTCTTATGTTTTCCAGCTGACAGGCTAGCTTGCATCCCAGGGGTTAGCAGCCTTCATGAGGTGCATGTGTGGGAGCTTGCAGGTGGCAAGAGCATTGCTACTCTTCATGTCAAGTGCCAAACACCTACTGATTACCAAGATGCTGCCTATAAAATACGGAAGGTTTTCCATGAAGCAGGGGTTCACTCTGTGACCATCCAACCTGAGTACATTGACCACAAGACCTCCAGTCTCCTGTGCAGCTCACCTTGCATCTCAAAAGCTTGTGACTCTCAGCTCTGCTGCAGTCAACAGGACGCACCACTGGTTAAAACTAATGGCTATACTGAAAAAAATGATAGCTGCCTTTCTGCACAGCGTAAAGAAAATGGTTCAAGTAAAAGTGATATTGAAATCCATGTTGACTCTCCACTGGCAGAGAATGGTGTTAAAGACATGAAAAATGGCGAAATGTCTGATGATAAGTCACAGTTGAGCAGTACACGATTTTAAACAGTTCTGTCTACTCTGAAAAATATTTTCATAGAATAAACATGGCCAGGCAGAGAAGTGTATCAGCAGTGGTTGTAGCTGAAGGTGGTATGGCAAAAAGATTTCTGTGCTGTAGCTGTAAACCAAAATGCACCAAAAAAAGCATGCATCTGAGATGAGGCTCAGTATTTCCATAAAATGTGTTGCGTTCATCTAAGATTTTTTTCTGATACAGCCTAGCACAGTTCCTAATCAAACTGTGTGTTTGTTCCTATTGCCTGAATGGGCAAGGTGTATTGTTGTCTACCCTGATGCTTGCAGTGTATGGCCAGTACCACTGGGAATGAAAACGAGCTGCTGCCTGAGAGCTCTGTAGCAAGTTAATGATTGTACTGGGCTGAAGTACTCTGTGTTTATAATGGACTTAAGCAGAGATGTTTTACTGATCCTCAGAACCAACTTTGCATATCCAGTAACTTGTGCTTCTGAAGCTTGTGAACGAAACTAAGGGTGCCTGAATGATGGGAGAGCACTCGGGAATAGTTGGCTTGCATTATTTTCTTGACTTCTGTGTTTGGGGGTGGAGCAGGAAATGGTCTTACTTCTCTATTAGTAATACTGGAACTTTAGCCTAATCACAGATACTCGATGCTTAAGAACATGCACTGTGTCATGAAAGTAAGGAATTATTTAGCCTTGTCTATATTGATTCTAACAGATAAAAATGCAAGCAATCATCCAATTAACTTTTGATCTGGTTCACTGTTGTGATTACACAACTCAGTTCTTACCCTTCTCCTCCCTTCCGAACAACAGAAGTTGAAACAGAAACAATGTTAATTCATTACCATGGGGAACGATTGCAGTATATTTAATTCTAGCATCTGTCCTTATCCCTGCTGAACAAATAAACTAGTCTGTCTATTATGAGTAGTTGCAAACTCTGCAATTCTATTACTGAGACAGTTTTATATTCACTGAGAAATTCCATTTGAAGCTTTATAAAACAATGTTATCACTTAGAGGGAACTTTTTTAATATTAAAAAAAGAACAAATCTGGGAGCTTTTTCTATTTTATTCCTAATTATTTGTTGATTTATTGAAAAAAATCTAAGCCCTCCCTCTGCCCAGTTGTGCATGCCCAGTCACCAAATGTTGGATTTTGGTTCTGCTCTCTAGCTTTTCGGGGGAGGGAGTCCCACTACCTAATCTATGCTGAGTGTAGTTCTTAGCCTCCAGAAGCTTTCAAATACATTTTTGCAATTGAAAGCAGCTTTTCAGTGCTCCTGTGGCCTGGACAGGCTATTTAGGTAGCTATTCCTGAAGACATCTTTGTAAAATAGAGGTATCTTTAACTCAGGGACAAAACAGTAGAAAGGGCAAATCAATCCCCTGCTGGGCTGGGGAAATACTGGGGCTTCCTTGCAAGGCTGGCTTGGAAGCAGACAAGTCCTTAATAAGGATGATTACATTAAATCAATGAATATTCAAACACACAGCAGGGTATTTTGCTGCTTGGAAAATTGTGTTTACTCGAGCAGTGTGATAACAGCTTAAATTGCACACTTCTAGTTTGTATTTACCCTTCTTGAGCAGTTCCTGGATGAATTAAAGTATTCATAGCCTTTATGATGGGTTTTAAATATAAAAATTGATCTGTATCCTAATGCTATTAAAACCTTCATCCTCCCATTCTGTTTGATCCTGTTTGCAGCTCTTGCACAAATTATGAAAATCAGGAAGCACTACAACAACTGCCCTGCTCTTTGAGAGGATGTGAAGTAAGACAGCCCTTACTTCAGGTTTCTTGTCCTCATTTTTGTCTGTGATGAGATCTAAATAAGGGGCTTAGATTTCAATAACAAATATATAGGTTTATTTTCTGTGAACTGGAACAGAAAGCTCCCAAAATATCAACAAAATCTGTGCAGGAATTTACAGCTCACATGCTCTCTAAAACAAGCAACCTTTCTTAATTATGCATTTGTCTCTTAAATCAAGTAATCTTTTTATATATGCATTTTATTAAATGGTTTAAAGGTTGGACTGTCAGTATAGTTTTACTCTGGAATTAGAGAAAATGAGTGTGTGTAATGTTGGGCATTTGATGAAATACACCATCTTCATCTTTCCAATGTTTATTGAAACAGTGGTTATCTATTTTTTTAAGTTTTTGAAGTGTTGTAACTTGAAAATACAATGAAGTAACATAAACAATTTTTCTTGTCTGGTTGAATGTACTGTGAATAAATAGGAAAATACCAAGGACTGTAGAAATCTTCAGGTCTAGAAAATGAGCAAATTAAAAAACAAAGCAGTTTTATTAGCAAGCAAAGCCAACAGAGCTATGTCAGTGATGAGGTGAACCTTGCTTTTTTTTCCATGCAGGGCCTGTCAGGGTACCCAGCAAAGGTTTTTGACCCAGTATCCTTGCCTTCCTTTCAGCTCAGCAACAAAATGTTTTTCTCCTGTTTCAAACGTGTGGCGGGTGGTGTGCTCTGCTGGGTGGTCCTTTTCTATTTTGATAGATGACATCATTCCAATCAGTGTGTATTTTGTTTTGGCTAATTTCCCTTAATTTCTTGGTGTTCCAATGCTCTTGAAGTATGCTTACCTCATTTTGAAGTACAATATACTTCAATATTTGCACTTACTTATGGGCACTTGTTCTAAATTCAGCTTTGTAGCATATTGCATTGTCATAAATTCTCCTTCCTGTCCTGTTAAACTTAATTGCTTTATTTCTCCCTCCAATTCAGTGATGGAAAAGTTCTGACTGCTGCGGATGGATTGCACAAACTTTTCTCTTCAAGTACACCCTTCTGAGTGCACCATCGCAGTACTCAGTTTCTCTTGTAGTGATTTTTTTTTTCTCCTTCCCACCTATCCATCACTGCTCTTAGGTAAGGAGGTAATTTTCAAACATGTAGTCATGTTATGTGATCCTCTGATCTATAACATGTGGTCCTCATGATCCATGAGCCATACATGTGACCTACTTGTAGGGCAACAGAACATTTACTAGCCTCAGCAATAGTTCTGGAGAAAGAGTTAAATCTGGAACAAATTCACATGGCAATGAACGCAAAGGCAATTGGCTGGCTTTCATCATTATGAGCCTTGTTTGAATGGAATTCAATTTTTTGTCGCCTTGTCATATGTTCTTTCATCAAACACGTACATTCAATTACAACTCTCCAAAGTGCAAATCTTGCCTTTGCTCTTCTGTGTCAAGAAAAAATAACATGGCTTTTTTTTTTTTTTTTGACCTGTAACTAAATCATTATATTTTTTTTCCTCTTAATGTTCATATTTATTCTTAACATTTAGAATAGTAGATCAGTTTTGCTATCCTTCTGGTCATGAGCATGTACCTATAATATGATTTAGAATACCTCTTTCGTGTACTTATTGGTTTAATTTTTGCACTTCATATTACGCAAGTTCACCCCCTTTGGTTTTGCTGCACAGGGTACTTTATCATTGCAAACGGATTGTTGACCTTGCTTAGTTCTTCTCACACTTTCCCTTTTTCCTGCTCTACTTTAATACTTTCCTTTCTGAATGTTCCCTTTTATTCTGAATCCGAGGTGGATGGATGGATAGTTTGACGTCAGTTGTTCCAAGGAGCATTTAATGTCCTTTGGTCTGTGTAGAAGTCTGCTGTTTAAGGAGTCATATGATTGAGATTATATGTATTTAAATTCCCCTGCACTCCACTGGAAACATCTTTTTCAAGACAGTTGATTTCTGAACCTGCGAAGGTATCATGAAATCAGAGATGTTTGTTAGTCTTTCATTAACACTTTAGGAGAAAATCTGAATCTCTCATTAGAAAAATGAGTAGAGGGGACAATTCTGAAAAGATAATCCAAGCACTATGAAAATTTCTATAGGTTTCTCTTATTCTGCTGTACAATGGAAACACTTTTTGTTAAATACTTTATTTAAGTAGTGATGCTTTGGTTTGAGGATGTTACTGTATGAAGTTGTTACACGTATGGAGTTATGTTGCTTAGAACTTCTTCCAGTTTTTCTTTTCATGATGTGATTTAAATACTGTGCCAAAATGTAATTTTCTTGATTGCCTAACCAATGAGTTGTAAATCTTGCTATGGTTTTATTCACTGTTAAAGAAAAATGGGAAGTTTGATGTACAGTTATATTTGTTTTCCAAAATGAAGTTTGAATGTGTTGTAAATAAAGTGCATTTTTAAATAAATTGCCCGTTGTTCTGTTTAATGTATGGTAGCAATGGAGAGCTGCTGTCAGTTTGGACTACTTTGAGACCTTTGAGTAAAGTTTCCCCCTAACCCAGGAGCTTACTAATGTAAATTTTGTTATGCATTTAGATGAAGAGTGGACACATATCCAGACACTTTTCATTTGCGAGCAGTCCAACCTCTTCTAACAAAGGAGTGAGTTTTTAGCTCACAATAGACTCTCTAAATGGGTATCTTGGCTGCAACCTAGTACAGGTGCTGTGTTGCTACCTAGTTCTGCTAGTTGATGCTTCTGATTCAGTGTTTAGCCTCTCCCCAGATCTCCTGTTTTCTCTGTTGGTCAGCTATGTGGTATAAGGTACTTGGAATTCAAGGTCTTCTCCTCCACGCTGAGGCCCCTACTCTATATCTGTGTCCTCCTTGTGCAGACTTTTTTTTTTGTTGTTGTTGCTGCATGCTGTATGTGTGGGTTTAGTCACATGCCTGTCTGTAGGAATATTTTAGGAGACTGCTTTGGATTCCCCACAGCTGGGTGCACAGTATCTATCTTGAAATTGTTTCTGATGTGGTGGAGAGCCTAACCTGTTCTGAGATTGTAGTAGGAAGTGGGGAAATGCTGGTGGTCACAAAAGGGTGATGAATGGTCAGTCAAATTCTCTGTCAAAGTTAGAGCACAGCCAGGATGAAGTTGGTGATTCTTCTAGGACAAAGTGGAGATTCAGTAAACTTGAGGGTAGGAGATAAAATGTTGGTAGGAGGTAAAATGTTGAGAGAGGTGTGTCCTGTGGTAAGGAGTCAGCCTCTGGCTCTTTGAGGTCACAAGCTTTGCCCTTTGGCACAAAAATGAAATTTATTGTTGAGTCTTAACTGAGTTTTACTGGCACAGTAAAATCTAGGTGTACAAGCATAGTTGTATGCTCAGCACGAGCTCTCCAGAGCAGTCTGGAAGTTGCAGTGCCTTTGAAGTGTGGTCCCTTGATCTGATGAGTTTCTTCTTCTGTGGGATAGCAAATGCACTGTCTGATGGAAAAAGCACATATATTAGTCTATAGACTTAGCAGATATTTGAATAACTGTGAAGTGTTATTGTCTATTTTAGTTAAGCATTATTGATTACTTGTCTAATAGGGAAGCAGTATCAACTTCTATAATAGTAGAGCATTATCAACTACTTCTGTAGTAGCACATTAAATACATTGGCATAGTACAGCTTGCATATTGTCCACTTCAAAAGAGGGTGGCTGCCTGATAACAGCCAATTGCAGGAGGGTCCTTGACTCTGGACTGTGCCCGGGAACTGTTTGGGAGAGTGCTAGTTGGCACAGGCTGTGAGATGTTTAAACAGCTTACTAATGCATATGGTCATGGTTCAGTGCCTGAAATGTCCCCAGACTCTGTTTAATTTTTTAATCAATATGTGGCCTTCAGACACTGAGCCTCTGCTGTGTAATTAAGGTAGCAGTGCTGCAGACCGCAAAGGAGGTGAGATTGGTGCTGGTTTCTTGGGACGTTAGTAGATCTGGCAGCCAGTGGGGCCAAAAGCATTGCTCTCCTCCTACGTCTATGCCTTGCTGTATCAGTGCAGGGTGGACTGGGAGGGGAAAGGCTGCTGGCATCAGCAATGCACATATGGCATGCAGATAATGCTATCACTGCGGTAGCTTGCATGAAAACAAGAAGTGCAAGACAAGTGTCACGTTGATATGGCACTGCACTTTGCTTTACCTGCTACCAGTCCTAGTAATTTTTTATACTTATTTTTATGGCATTCACCCATTTTTAATAAATCTCTGTATTTGATTGACCACATATTGCTGCCCATCCTTTTGGGAGGAGATGGCAGTGGAACGATGGCACAGGACTTTGCAGTATGTACAGGGAAAAATGAATTCATGTAGACCTTATACAAGTCTTCAAAATGACTCAGGAGGCTCTCAAGACAGTGTACAGTAAGTTTGATGGTTAAAGGATGACACAATTCAAGAGAAAGAAAACAACCCTTTTTTTTTTCTTTTTTTTTCAAACCTTAGAAATTAATCTTGTGTCTGGTGCAGATGAGCAGATCCCTCAAGTCTTGAGACAGGAAGCACGCCAGGCTATTGCAGATGAGCACAACAAATATGAAATCTTACAGAAATTGCTTTAAGTAGCAATTTCTCTTTAAAATTGCTGTGAACTAGGGATGTTATCCTTTGCTTGCCCTTATTGCTCACAGGCAGTATTTTTTTCATGGCATGGTTTGCCTTAAGAGGCCAGCAGCATGCAGGATGTACCCCATGGCAAATTACCCACTGGCCATCCCTGCTGCTCTTGTACTTCAAAAAGAGGTGCAGCATTTGCACCCAAATGATTCTGGGACACTGCTGCCTGGGGATCACCTTTCTCTTGTGAATGTCTCCAGCATCATGTAATTTCTAAGACTTAAACTGGACAGACCTAAATTATCTGGATATAGCTTAATAAGTCATGGTGCAGGAAGACAATTGGGATGCCCAGCATAACTGTGAGCTTGGGAGGGGTACCTTGAGAAGCTGCTCCCAAGCTGCTCCGTGCCAAAGCCCCACAGATCTTTTCCCTTTTGGTCCATCCAGCAGAATGCGGTGGTACTTACGTTGTCCTGCTGAAGGAAGGGACAGGAAGGAAGGGCACTGAGGCATGAAGATGCAACTTGCAATGTGCTGAGGCTTTTTTATGATTTCCCTTAATTTTTTATTATTTCCCTTAACACCTGTTGTCTATAGATGTGAGCATTTTTGTCTGTGGTTTGTTGCTGCCATCTTTACTCTTTAGTATCCACAATGTCAAATGAATGGTTACCCAGAGAGGTGGTGGATGCCCTGTCCCTGGAGATACTCAAGGTCAGTCTGCATGGGGCTCTGAACACCTGATGGAGTTGTAGGTGTCCCTGTTCACTGCAGGGAGTTGGACTAGATGGCCTTTAAGGGACTCTTCCAGCCCAAATGGTTCTATGATGACTGTATGAAATCTGATCTT